AACACAAGATTATGGAGGTGGATAGGGAATTTCTCCCCACCCACCCACCATATTCTCCAGATATGGCACAATCAGATTACCATCTTATTCGTTCGCTGCAACACCATCTTAATGAAAAAACGTATGCAAATGTGGTAGGTGTTAAAGAGGACATCGACATGTTTTTGCTTTAGAGCCAAGTGATTTCTTTCATCAGGGCATTAACAACCTGATTGTAAGATGGAAAAGCATCATCGATAACAATGGAGACTGTTTCATTTAATAAATGATTTGTTTTGATATATAAGTTGTTCGGCTTTTTTCATCTGAAATAAACGACATTAATTTCTTGACGACCAAATAGATATATATCGAAACAGTTGAGTTTTAAGTCTGTAAATTTAGAATACGTTTAGATCTAAAGAGGTTTGTAAGTCGTTAAGAGTATTGCGTTCTTTAAGTATGAGCAAACTTAACTTTAATGTAGAGTTCAAGGTCTGAAGACCCTATAGTAATGATAGAGAAATCGTTGAATGAAATATTTTGACCAGTGGTTTAAACATTTGAACGAATGGATAAGTGGCTGGACCTGTTCTGTTAGATACTCCTAAATGTTTATAGACTAGTTTCCATTGGCGTTTTGGTTTGCCAATGTACGTGACCTTACAGTCACTGTATGTAATTTATACACGAGCCATGAACGTAAAAGCTTAGGTAGATGATCTTTGTATTGAAACAAGTGTTTAATGAGGAGGCTAGGTCTGAGCTGAATGCCCCCCCCCCAGTGGCATAGCGGTATGTCTGCAGACTTACAACGCTAGAATCCGGATTTCGATACCCGTGGTGGGCAGAGCACAGATAGCCCATTTTGTAGCTTTGTGCTTAATAACAAATAAACAAACTGAGCTGAATTTCAGGGTAGAAGTTTTCTATTAGAGAGGAGAGTTGTTTTTAGATTGTGAACCCATAAAAGGAAGAGAGATAATGAGGGGAAATTTGGGGACGGTGTGCACATTGGCTGGTGGTTGAAATTTGTCGTTTACGAAATTGCGTGTAATATTTGTTAGAAAATCAGTCGGATAGCCATTATTTAACAGATATTTGTGCAGAACTGTAATTTCTCCGTGTAAAATAGAATAATTCGAGCAAAGATGAAAAATTCTGTTTAACATTGACATGACTAGATTACGTTGGACCAAGTTGGGGATAAAACTATTAAAATTGATGTAAAGGCCAGTAAAAGTTATTTTACGATAAACAAAGGTAGAAAAGTGTTTACCTTCTTTGGTAATATTGACATCTAGGAAAGGTAAATAATAATTTTTCTCGAGTTCGGATGTGAATTTGATATTCGGGTGTTGGGAATTAAGGTAAGAAAAGAACTTAGAAACGTGACTCGATTGTCAAAACATCAAGAAAGTGCCATCAATATGGCGTTTGCAAAGGACAGGTTTGAACTCACGTAGGTAGGTTTCTAGCCACTTGCGTTCATAGTAGCATAGAAAGGTATTAACTATTTTTGGACCCAATGAGGATCCCATGGTGATTCCCTCTATCTGGTCGTAAATGACGTCATTAAAGAGGAAATGGTTTAACTTTGTAGAGAGGACAATAAATTACACGAATTGTTTACAGGTAAAACCAAAATACTGCTCAATGTCAGTGGGAAAAAGAAGGCCCACGATTAAATTTCAAGTTTCATCAAGGGGGATGTTGGTATAGAGAGATTCAATATCAAAACTGGACATAACATATTGATCAGTAGAGGGAATTTTAGATATTTCAGAAGCAAAGTTAAAATCATAAGTAATCGTAACTTCATTCAAGGTTTAAGAATAGGTAATCGTAACTTCATTCGAGGTTTAAGAATAGGAATGATAAATCTGGAGAGATTGTAACTGCAGGAGCATACAGCTGAGAGAATAGGATAAAGAAGGTACCGAGTTTTGTGTAGTTTGAGAAGGCCATAAAAAATACCGGATTTAGTGCCACATAGAGCAACTTGTTCAAAAGTCATTTCAGAGATAATATTTTGACTTTTAAGGGTCTTGAAAAACGTAGGATCTCACCTTCCCTCTTAAACGTTAGGGATAACAAGTCTGTATCTAGTTTTTATATTTACAAGGGTCATTGAGCTGGTGGTTTATTTGATCAATATAACCAGTTTTTCCATAAAGGCAATACATTACCTTTGTCTCGTTTAGTGACGATAATATTTTTGTTTTTGACAGAGTTTTAAGAGCTTGTAGTTCAGCATCCCATTAGCATTATGGATAATATAAAGTTAAGAAATCGTATTAGCTTAGACTACCATTTCACTCTCAAATTTGGCGGCTAGATGTGGAACATTAACATTCGTGTCTATTTTCCAACAGCTCACGAAACTAAAATACATTGCTCTTTTCTCTTTCTATATAACTCCTATCGTCCTAATTCTCCATTGAACTAATATGTTAGAAGATATAGAGCATTTATGTAGAGGTGGACCATATAAATACAAATGATTGGGAGAGAACAATGTGTAATCTGCTTACGATGCCTATATGCTATCGGTTGATTATAAGCTTATATTTTCAAAAACGTAGTGAACTACATAGTCACCGAAACATTGACCAGCCAAAAAGGTGCGATAAGGTCCCGTTTTGATTGGTTACCAGAACATTCGAGCCATCTCTAGCTAAACGTCTAATCGCCATTTAACGATACTTCTGTTTAAAGGTAATATAAATCTAACTGAAATTAATTATCAATTAATAAACCTAAATATCTGTTTACTTACTTTGCTTTCGGCGCCTAATCTTATTTTGGTAGATTCAACCCGTCGTTTCAGATCTTCGATTTCTTGAATCAACCGCGCAATCATGATCTTCAAACTAAACTGAAGGAGAGAGAAAGAAGAAAATTTGCATTTGGGTGAAAACAGTAATAAAATACACACGAAATAAACCCCGGACAGAATATACTGCATAAAAAACACACGAAATAAACCCCGGACAGAACGTTCTGCATATAACACACACGAAATAAACCCCGGACAGAACGTACTGCATACAACACTACACGAAATAAACCCCGGACAGGAAGTACTGCATATAACACACACGAAATAAATCCCGTACAGGAAGTACTGCATACAACACACACGAAATAAACCCCGGACAGGAAGTACTGCATACAACATACAAGAAATAAACCCCGGACAGGAAGTACTGCATACAACATGCACGAAATAAACCCCGGACAGGAAGTACTGCATACAACATGCACGAAATAAATCCCGGACAGGGAGTACTGCATACAACACACACGAAATACATCCCGTACAAAAGTTCTGCAGGAAATCACGCAGACGCGCTGTTTAGAGCTTATTTATGTTGTTACAACCCTGAGTTAAAATTACTACTGTATAAAGAAAAAATAATGGTTTGTAGCTGCACAATGGTTTGAATTATGAACCTTATCTGAAGGTTGGCCATTTCTTCCAGTTGAAATAATGAACAAGGACATAATTACTGATAAGAGTGGTTAAGGAGTTGTTTGAATTATGAACCTTATCTGAAGGTTGGCCATTTCTTCCAGTTGAAATAATGAACAAGGACATAATTACTGATAAGAGTGGTTAAGGAGTTGTTTGAATTATGAACCTTATCTGAAGGTTGGCCATTTCTTCCAGTTGAAATAATGAACAAGGACATAATTACTGATAAGAGTGGTTAAGGAGTTGTTTGAATTATGAACCTTATCTGAAGGTTGGCCATTTCTTCCAGTTGAA